GGCGATCAACTTCGCCTGCAGATGAATTACGACTAATGAAAAAATTGTGATGAGGGTGAGCATGCTAATGAAGCTGCCCAGAAGAAATATTAATTGCGGACCTAAAATGAGGATGATAGTGCTGATGATCATGATACTGCAGATGACTAGTAATCTTGATGGCGACTTGCTGATAGTGCATCGCCCAACACACTCGAATTTCATGGCGCGCCCTAGATCTTCGATATCTCCTAATCCGCTGGACCATTTGATCTGAAATTTGGACCACCTCTGCTCCTCGCCATAGACCACCAGTGGCCAATTTTCAGCTCAGGGCGCGCACCCAATCGCGCGCAATCATCGAGCGCGCGCGCGCTATTTTCCTTGCTGCGTGCAGTTTTCTAGCGCGCGTGGCTCCTCGTTGTGGCGGTAACCTTGATGGATGATTGTTGAAATGATGACGATGATGACTGGTGACTATGATTTCAATGATGATGATAATGATGATGATGATGATGATGATGATGATGATGATGATTCTAACGATGATGATGATGATGATGATGATGATGAATACTGCTGACGAGAGTCAACTTCTGATGGGATAGATCACGATGAAAGTAAATGATGATGATGATGATAATGATGACGATGATCAATGATGACTACGATCAAAATGATGAAATTGCTAATTACGCGCCCTGTGGTGGTGCACTAATGATGGTGATAATAGGGATACGCAGCGCCCTAGCACCCTCAAATAGTAAAATATGAATGAGGTGCTTGCACGCTAGCCAACTTACTTTGTTTCCAATACTAGTAATGCAATATTACTGACAAGCTGCTCGCGGCCCCAGTTACCGCCTCAATGGTGATGAAGAGCATCACCCTGATGATACTGGTGGCAACGGTGAGCAGCCCTAATGATGATAACGGAACCCTTACGCTGTTCCTTTGAGTCATGCTCGACAACAACGATGATGAAGAAATGATGATGGCAGTGACGAACAGCCTTGATGATGATGAGGAAACCCCACCATGTTTCTTTGAGTTACGGCCGATCCCTGATGCTGATGAACGAGAACGCTGGTGATGACGAGTAGCTACTTCACTCGCACTTCGGGTCACCCAAGGCTCACTCCGCTGAACTCCACAGGCATCCCCAGAGACGACACCTCACAGGCTCTATGCCACGGGCAAAAACGCAGCAGCAATGGAGTATGAACGCGGAACTCCCAGAAAACCCCCGGGAGTCGGTCTATTCTCCCTGTCAACTTGTGGCACAGTATAACCAAGCACCCCCGCTCCCCGCGCGTGCGCAAAGCGCTTAACAAGCAGCTGCTGTAAGCTCGACCCCCAGCCCTGCAACACCTCGTCACCCCACTAGCGCCTCTGTCACGCCATCGCCATGCAGTACTTCGTCCGTATGAACGCGCCAGAGCGAAGCCGGTTCACGCCAGGCGCCCTCCCACTTCGCCGCCTCACTCCGCTGCCGCGGTCCGTACCGGGGCGCAGCGCTCCCGGTAGCGCTGCGCCCCGCCAGTAGCCCGTCAAATTCCAAATACTCCTCCAACCCTAGGAATACAAACAAGCAAACTGGGTGCCACAAGATGTTTCAATGGGACGCTGGGCCCGTTTTCGGAAGTCCATGGTGTTGTAGAGGCCAGTCACTGAGTACACAGTTCCGTTCTTTTTTTTTTTTTTTTTTTTTTTTTGAACAGTTTCATTTTTGTTTCATCTATGTGATGCTATTTTCCAACCCCAGGGTCTGCGTCTTAGATCTCTTCAATATAATGGCAACGTACCATAGGTGGTACTTTGTGACGCGCGCGATCGGGTCTTACCCGATTATACAGACGCGGGACCCGGTTTCCAGCAGGTGCAGCTCCCCGCCAATATTGCAGGGAGCAACAATTTGAAAATGTTTTTTCTTGAAGAAAGGCGACCTGTGCCCTATGCGTGTATCCACGTCTTCAGTCTTGCCTTCCTGTGTCTTCCAGATGTATCACCCAACCCCCGTATATTCCAGGACACCATTACTAGCTTATCCATTCGTGTTTTCGGGTACGGCTGAGGATTGGATCCGCAAATCTGTGGGCTGAGTGTTGCTGTTCCCCTTTTTGCGCCTGCTCTGACTTCTGTTCTCTCCTTCCGCTTGAGACTCCCATGGTTGGATCAACAGGTTTTTGAAGGGGACTGTCCAGGGCTGCTTGTCTGCCGGTAGCGAGCTGCAAAACAATGCCACCAGGTCTGCTTTCACTCTTCCCACCAAGTGTACCCTTGCAGCTTCCGCTGATGTCTTGCAGTCAAACCATTGGGGCGGGATCCAGTGGATATCCTGAACTGCCAGAAGAGATGCTATTTCTGGCGAGATCTTTGCATCCACCATTACCAGGTGGAGATGCAGCGCTGGTCCTTCCTTCAACTGGATTGTTTTCCTGCCCACCCTGATCCCTGCAATCAATTGGTGGGGGAATCTTCCAGCTACAAATCTAGTTACTGCGGCATTAATTGCAGCCTTCGTTCTTGGGAAGCTCTCCACTAGCAATGTAGGTAGAGTAAATTCTCCTCCTTCAGTTCTTCCGGCCATGATCTTAGTATCTTGTGGGGCGAGAGAGGAACAAACGACTACCACATAATGTGCCCCTTGGGAGGGGTATTGTGTCTGGCCCGAGCTGGATACTACCTACTTCCCCCTCTGTCTTGGGTCTCCCCCTTGATTCACTCTATGCTGACCTGTGGGGGAGGTGATGTTTACAAACTCCACCTCCACTTCCCCATCTTCTTCCTCCCTTGTTGGTTCCACACACCCTGCCTCCCCTACTTTCCTTGTCTTGATTGGTGTCGAGAGTGTAAGCCTGTTCCCTGGATCCCTCATGATTTGGTCTGGTCGTCCCCTTCGAGTCATATCCCTATCATTGAACGCCTCGCCGCTCCCTCCTGCCAAATCTCTCCCACCGTTACTGGCCAGACTTGCCTCTGATGATCCGAGCGCCCCTCGTGCCGCTGCTTCTTCCTCGTAGTGACCAAGAACAAACTCGGGGTTGATGTGTAGTGTAACAAAGGATTGATGATTTACTGCAGCTCCCGTGACTTATCTCCCTTGTTGGTATGGGACCATTGCCCCTCTTCTCTATTCCATTTGTTCTGATACACTTGCAACGATGCTCTGTGTCGCCGGACTTGGCTGAACTTGTCCGGCCTGTGTCCCTGCTTGTACAGTCGTTGATCTCCCTCCTCTCATATTAGTATCCCAGACTCCCGATCCTCCCAGTGTTGGTACTCCATACCCGGGGTTCTATGAGGGCGCCTGCACCCACAGTCCGGCCGTCTGTGGTGGATTTGTGCCAGGCGTCAAGGCCTCTGGGCCTATACCTCCCACGATAGGTGCTCCCGGGCCATTAGGACTAGGAGCACAGGGCACAGGTCGCCTTTCTTCAAGAAACGAAATTTGACGAACAGAAAATTGTTCAGTGCTCAGGATGGTGGAGGGGGCAGCAGTGGTGGGCACCGGCTGATGGCACGAGAGGCGGAACTGCCATCTTACTCCACAGGGATTTGGATGTAGAGATTATGGACAGTCAAGCGGACATATGGGGCCAGTGGGTTTGGGTGACCATTCGCTTTGCAGAACAGACCTGGACACTGATGTTTATATATGCACCATCAGTTCCAGGGGCAAGAAGATCCTTTTTATCAGATTTACAAAATGTGATCCATGAGTCAGACCACATGGTGATTGCGGGAGATATTAACACAGTCCTCTGCCCTGGCCTGGATTCACCTCAGGCAGGATTGAAGAGGGCGGATGCGCTTATTCTGGAGCAAGTATTGGAAACCCAAGGCCTGCAGGACTCATTTCGCCAGCTGCACCCGGGGTACACATGGTTCTCTACACAGAGAATAGAGAATAGGAACCCACCGAGGAGAAGACTAGATCTGATTCTCACGAAGGGGGAGGCTTGGGAAGCAGTTTCAGAAGTGGAGCCGGTACCAGACCCAACGTCCGATCACTGGCCTGTGAAGGCAGTGTTCAGGCTCAGCACAAGTATTTGGAGGGAGAGAGGCTATTTTCGTCTGAATGTAGAGAACCCGAAGGAGTCGGCGGTGTTAGATTGGTGCAGACAGCACTGGGAAGACTGGGAACGGACGAAAGACTGGTTCGAGTCGGAAGAGGAGTGGACTCAAGTCGGATTTAGAATGGTAACAAAAGCGCTTGAAGCATTCTCTAGAATCCTTGCTAGCAAAAGAAGGAAAGAGGAGGAGGAATGTAGAAGAATGGTGACAAAGCGGAAGACCAGATTGGGGGAGATCCACTGACAGATCTGTACTGGGAACATCGCAGGGACAGATGGATGGCCAAATGGGAGGTCCTACAGGTGGAACAACAGGAGATTTGGGCTCGAAGGGCGAAAGAGAGGGGGATGGCCCATCTAGACCGGATGACAAAGGAGACCTTCAGGAGGTTGTGCCCCCACAGATCTCATGGGATCATAAGGGCTCTAAAACACCCCTTTAACGCATATGCAGACTTGGCGGAGGACACGGCAACAATTGCAGATTACGCAATGGCGTACTACAGCGACATCTTGACATCCAGGAGACCTCCATAAGAGCCCCTAGCGGTCCTCAAAGAAGAAGCAGACTTGTGGCAGAACACAGACAAGGCACTCACGCAACATCAAAGACAAGACCTCGACAGACCACTGACGCTAGAAGAGCTCAAGGGAGCGGTGGACTGCATGGCAAGAGGAAAAACCCTCGGAGACGACGGGCTCCCAGTGGAGTTTTACGAAGCAACATGGGAACAGGTGGGCCCAGTGTTGCTCCGACTGTTCAACAAGGTATTGGAGGGCAAGACTTTGACTGAAGACATGTGTAGGGGGGTGATTACCCTCCTATACAAGAAGGGAGACAAACAGAACGTTAGGAATTGGAGACCTATTTCCCTCCTTAACGTATCATATAAAATATTGGCAAAAGTGTTGTCTAGACGCCTAGCCAAAGTTCTCCCAGAACTGGTCGGAGTGGACCAACGGGCCTTTGTGAAAGGCCGATCAATTGCGGAGAATATATTGGTAGCAATGGGGGCTCTAGAGATCATAAGCAAGGAGCGGAGGCAAGTAATGGTGGCAATGCTTGATCTAGAGAAGGCCTATGGCCGGGTTAACTGGTCATTCATCCTTGCCACGTTGGAGCACATGAACTTTGGGATTTTATTCAGACACTGGATTTCAGCGATGTACTGTTCTTCAACAGCCTCAGTTATTGTAAACGGAAGAAGATCTCAGGAGTTCATACTATCAAGGTCTTTACGACAAGGGTGTCCAATGGCACCACTTCTTTTTGTAATCCAAATAGAAGTTCTCCTGAATTCCCTCAGAGCCGCTCCGTTGGTAAAAGGTCTGCAATTGGGGGGGGGAGTAGAAGTACTTACTGGAGCAATCGCTGATGATCTGCTTCTTATTACCGAGGCACCTGCAGAATCAACAAGGGAAGCCAAAGGAATTTTGGACCAGTATGCAACGCTGTCGGAGGCCAAGGTGAACTGGGACAAATCAGCTTACTTCTTACCTGCTGAATATGAGTTGTCAGATGACTGGACAATGAAGCGTATTAGAGAAGCAGATTCCGAGAGGTGCCTGGGAGTGCAGATTTCGCTAACAGACAGCAGGCCAGTACAAGACACGATCTTGGTGGGGAGGACGGAGGCTGCCATCAGTAAGTGCAGAGGGGCAACGGGCCTGTCCCTGCTGGGCAAAGCCACAATAATCACATCACTCATTTTTTCGTTACTATGGCATATTGCAGCGGTAATCATGATCTATAAACCAACAATTCGGAAGGTGAAACGAGCGGCAGCTAAGTATCTCTGGAAGCACAAAGCAGAGGAGCAGGAGGGCTTTATTACTAAGGTGGCGTGGGACAAAGTGACGAAGCCCAAGGACCAGGGGGGCTTGGGCATCATTGACCCAGAGAAACAGAACACGGCCCACTTGGGGAAGTGGATCATGAAGGCGTCAACTCAAACGGCGCAAAGATGCTGGTTGGAAATAATACAGTACATCATCCAACAACAGTTCCATCTAAACACAACGAAGGAAGTTTGGACCTGTCTGCAAATGTCAAGCTTTGTGAACAGACGCCCGAAGTCGATCATTGGGCGGGCTTGGTGGATCGCATGGAAGAGGTTAAGACCCCCAGAGGGGCCGGACCCACGGCTGAAGGAGGAAATTTTGATTCAGCCGTTATTTGACAATCCAAGGATCCGACAAGGGGAAGGCTCCACCTTTTCGGCAGCGTTAACACCAAGAGGGAGTTTTGGGAGGAAATGGGTGGAGAAAGGGGTGACACAGGTCAAAGAAATTTGGTCGGAGGATGCTAAGGAATGGAAGTCGGAAAGAGAACTCCGAAATCAGCTGGGGAGACTAAGAGGAGTGGGTGAGAAGCTTCAGCAACTAATGGAGGCAATTCCCCAAGCTTGGCAGGAGATTCTTAAAGAAGATAATAAACTGAAGTTTGGGGCGTGGTACAAAGACATGGATACTCCGGGAGTGCCAGACGAGTTCTATAGAGTGGAAGAAGGTGGGGAAGAAGGTGGGGAAGAAGAAGAGTGGATAGCCTCGCGGTGGGTTATGGCCCAGGCAAAAAACTCAGAAGGTAATCTGAGAAGGGAAGGGCAGAGACTTATCAACCGAGAGCAGAACTGGATAGCAGTCAGAGCAATCAGGACTCTGGAGATAAATGGAAGAGAAGGTTGGAGAGTGATACAGGGAGGAAAAGCAATTACTGAACTCCGCCTAGACCCTGGAGCAGTGGTGTGGACAGCTACAGGGACATGCATCACGCTCGCACAGTACACATCCAAGCTGGGTCGGAAAACTCAGGAAGACCAAGTATCATACATACAAGAGATTCGGGATAGGTCAGCGAGACTGCTAAACAGCAACAACCCTCCAACAGAGGGAAAATGGAAAGAACTGTGCCTCCAATTGCACATCATGCCAAGCCTCAAATGTTTTGGACTTCTATGGTTACTACTGCACTCAGCGATCCCCTCTGCAGCGTGGCTAGTGAGTAAAGGTATGCAGATTGAGAGCACATGCTCAAGATGTGGGGGCAGGGAGGAAGAGACACTACTACATTTAGTGTGGGAATGCCCAGCATCTAAAAGAATCTGGAGATGGTGGGCGGAACACTGGCAGAAACTGGGCTCAGCCTTAGTGTGGGATCAGGAGTGGGTGACTATGGGGCAGCTACCCCCGCTCTTCTTCACGAAAAGAGGCTGGGGGTATATGGCACAGGCCATACGGTCAGCGATCATGTGGGTGATTTGGGAAGGTCGCAATGCGGTGCTATTCAAGGGAGAATGGTCCTCAGACAAAACCATCAAACGAAAGCTGAAGTCCCAAATACGCACAATGATTGCTGCAGACTGGATCAAAAAGGCAGACAGGGGCAGGTCACAGAGGGGAAGAACATGGTTCCTGTTTACATGGGCAAGGGGGAGCCAGCTGGCAGGAGTTACGGTAGACGGAAGACTAGTGATTTCGCCTTGGCTAAGGACGTGAACTAGCCCACCCACCTGACCCCTTGGTGGGGTTTTGTTTTATAGAGTAGTGGCCGCAGGAGGCCAGAACCAGTCGTGGTTATAGACTGGATTGGAGAGGTATAGGAATAGAACTCCAGAGCAGCAGGAGCTCTGGGAGGCCGTCATTGGGCCTGGTAGGTGACGTAGGATAATAATGGGGAGGGGTGGTGGGACGGTGCACAACAGAGGACCAGAGTAATAGGGATTTAGATTGTAATAGCAAGTTGAGGGAAGGGAAGGTAGAATAAGGGGAATGGTTTCAGGAATGGTATCAGGGAATGGGATTAGGGAGAGTGAAGTGGGCCTAGAGTGGGGTAGGCAGATGTAATGCAAGGGGAATGTAATGTAAGGAGGGGTGACAATGTCGAAGCTAAACCGGCTGAAGCTGCCGGGATAACTCCGGGTTGAATTGTGAGGTCCCCGGCCTCAGCCAATGCGATTTTGAAATATAATGAAGGATACGTGAAATTTTAATTAATAAATAAATAAATAACGTTTTTTCAAAAAAAAAAAGTTTTACTCTATCATATTGCTATCGGGTGCTGGGTCCCACCTCCCACCTACAGACTGATGGCGTAGCTGTCTACGGCAAGTGACACCTGCATATTGAATGAAACAAAAAAAGGGGAAACTATGCGGGAGTCACAAAAATGAGTTATAATTGCACTATGGGCCAAGATACAGTTTGCAATTGCAGTTCGGGCAATGTATACAACCCAGTTTTCTGGCCAGGTATGGTGCCCGAAGTGCAATTGTAAAAACTATATCTTGCCCCATAGTGCAATTATAACTCTTTTTTGTGACTCTACTGAAGTTACACACACACACACACACACACACACAC